TTCTCCTCCGCGATCTGCATGATGAGGCTGTCCACCTGCTCCTGCGGCGTGGTCAGTGTGGTGGCCGAGCTCATGGAGTCCTCCATCACCTGCAGTGGGGCCAGCTCTGCTTGCACTCGTCCAGCCCCATGGCTGGCTCGCCGCCCGCCTGCCCAGGCCACTCGAGGCCTTGGGGCCCCACCGAGGACGCTGGGAGCCAGGGGCCAGCCGCTGGCCACCTACCGACGTGTGCACGTCCAGGTTCTGCACCTGCTGCTCGAACCGGTCCATCACCGCGGAGACCTTCTGCAGGTCCATGGCGCTGAGCGCCCTGTCCAGCGCCTTGGTCACCTGGGCCATGTTCTTGGTCACCTGGTGCAGGCACAAGGGGCTCAGGGCAGCGCCGAGGGAGCCGGTGAGGGAGGCCTCCCCGCGGCCGCGCGGCCCCAGCGAGGCACTCACCCCCTTCATGGTGACGGCCGTCTGCACCTTGGAGGCCACCGCGTCCACGCGGGAGGCCATGCGCAGCCAGTTCACGCCCTCGTTCTTCTTGCGGATGGCGTTCTCGGCGTACACACGGGCGCACTCCACGTTCTTCTGCTGCAGGGCCTGCGGCGGGGCAGCCGCTGGAGCCGCCCCCCCGCCGCCCGCCGCAGAGCCCAGCGCCCCCCGCCCTGCTGGGCCCGGGCCTCTGGTGCGGGGACGAGGGGGCCCTGGAGGAGGGCTAGCCACCCCACGACGGCAGTGGGGTCGCGGCGGCCCGCAGCACTGGCTGTGACTGGGCGACGCCGACCCCACCCGGAGGGAGCCAAGGAGGGCCGCTCACCTTCTTCACCTTGGCCTGCTCCGCCTTGGAGTCCTTCTCTGCCTTCTTGGCCAGCTTCTCCAGCTGCTTGGCCGTGAACTGTGCAGACAGCGGGGGGGTCGGGCTCACCCACGCCCTAGCCCTGGTCCCTGAGGCTCGGTCGAGGGAGACGACACGGGGTCTTCGGGGATAGCTGTGGCCCGCAGGAAGCACCCAGACCCACCCTACGCAGGTGACGGGTAGGGGCAGGGCTCTGCGGCGCGCAGGACCCGACGGCGCCTGCCCAGGCTGAGCACCCAGCGGGCGACACCCTCCTCTGGGCTCACCCCAGGGCGCGTGCCGAGGGTCGGGGCCCTGCTGGCTGGCTGCCCCTGGGAGGGCCCCAGCCCCTGACCAGGAGGCTGGCAGGGACCGCGGGACCATCTCATCCGCTGCCCAACACCTGGGGACCCACACGACTCTCGCGTCCACCTCACCCTCCTGTGACCCCTAAAGGGGACGGACTGGGACCTGACCTGCTGCCCACACTGGCCTGAGGCACCTCAGGGGTGCTGGGGACCCATGCCTTGCTGCCTGTGGAAGGAACCCCAGAACCCTGTGCCTTGCTACCCCGGAACAAGCAGCTGCCTGAGAGCGTTCAGAGGAGAGGCCACGGGCTGGCCTCAGGAGGGCTGCCTGAGCGCTCGGCCGCTGGCCGGCGGGGTTTGAGGCTGATCTTCAGCACCCAGTGACCAGGCTGGCGACGAACAGTGCGTGCTGCAGATGGCACACAGTGCCTCCTGCACACGCCAGCCCCACCGAGACGTCAGTCCCCGATGTGCCGCAGCCGGTAGTGGCCAGCGAGTGTGACTGGCGCTGGCCCATGCGTTCGCCATGGCGCCGGGGGTGGAAGGTGCCCCACGTACCTTCAACTGGAACAGGGTATCTGCAAGAGAGGAAAAGGTCTGGTGTGGGGGTGCCACCTCCCTGCAGACTGCGCAGGGACCCCATGGAGCCGCATGGAACGTGGGTGGGGTGCGGCGAAGGCTGCCAGCAGGCGCTGGACAGGCAGCCCCCGCGTGGCCGCAGAACCCCCTCCTTCCTGGGGTCCCGCTCCAGGAACAGCCTCCTTCCTCTGCAGTCCTGTCTTAGCTACTCTCTCCCCAGAAGCAAATGGCTGAGGGGAGCAGGGCAACCGTCCTGGTGGCACAGCGGCCACTCCCAGGGCAGCCCACGCTGGTACTGACCCCACCCCGGCCAGACCCACCAGCCAGGCTCGGCAGGACACAGGTGGCCTGGGAGTCCGGCTCCGGGGCGGGCCCTGCCTGCTGCCAGACTCAGGAGAGCAGATGCTTGAGATGAAACCGCCGCGGCACCAGCGATCTGGGTGACAGGGCGCCCCTGGGCGGGGCCTGAGGCTCCCCACCTTCCCCAGGCGGGCTGCAGCCCACCAGGGACCGGGCCTGGCTGCCGGACGCTTC